AGTAATACTTTGCGGGGTAAAATAATATCATGATTTATTCTTTTGGGCCAGATAACGGCACCGAGATGGGCCATAATGGCCAGAATGGACCTGAACGCTCACGGGAACGGCCAAAAGTGGTGGTGTGCCGCTGCCCGTATTTTTACATATTATTTTCGGGGGCAGCATTAAATTACGGGGGGGATTTTTTCGGCTGGAGTTATGAAAGACCATATTTTGCAGAGGTGCGCCGCGAAAGCGATTCTTACCTTCGAGAGCTGAGCAAAATGAATAATTATTATGGCTACGTATTACGTGGCCCCTTTCTCGGGCTTTTTATTGGCAATGGTATTTTTTTCGCCCAACGCTGTGAAGTAAGTAAAGTGTGTTACCTACTTGAATATTTTTCTTCGAGATTAGAATGTTACGGGGTATTCGTGTGGGAAAATACGGAGCAATATATATATATATATATATATATATATATATATATATATATATATATATATATATATATATATATATATATATATATATATATATATGTGTGTGTGTGTGTCTACAATATATACATGTATGAACATATACATATTTCATTGACTAGCGATAAGCCCCACTCAACTCCCGTTCACCTCTCCCGAACACAGTTTTCGTAACGCGTAACGCATTCGCCAGCTTACCTCCCAAGACAAGCGTGCGTAAAGGAGTTACACTTCAAAATAGCCATTTGGCATACTTTTTCACATTTGGCATACTGTATATGACATGATTTTAACTATAGTCTAATTTACTGTGGATGAAACAATGGTTAACTAAGTAGGTTATAATTATGTTTTTATTTATTATTTGGCATTTAACTGCTAGATGTTTAAATCTAAAGAAAAGTTTACTAGAAAAAAAAAATCCACGCGGACCAGGCAGCGGACGGGACTCGAACCCGCACCCTTCGCAATCCGGGCGAATGCTCTGATCATTATGCTACCACGGCCCTATTGGCCGGGTCGAAATTTTCCTAGCCTTAAGCTGCAAGGCAGCGCCATCTCTTAGCATTGTAGGTAACCCACAATGTCAAATGAATACTTTTTCAAGTATTAAACATTTGAAAGAAGAAATAGCAATTATAGTTATTTTTTTATTTATTTTTAAGAATTTACCTGCTAGATATTTGTTTCTTAGGTTTTCACGCACATCACTCATTAAATAAAACTAGTTTTTACGGGTTAATAATCATTTATTCTGACGATGCAGACCTGAAAAGGCTGCGAAACGTCAATAAATAAATAAAGTTTCGTGCATTAACCCGTAAAAACTAGTTTTATTACCTGCTAGATGTTTAAATCTAAAGAAAAGTTTACTAGAAAAAAATCCACGCGGACCAGGCAGCGGACGGGACTCGAACCCGCACCTTTCGCAATCCGGGCGAATGCACTGACCATTATGCTACCACGTTAAGGAGGTTATTTTAGAAATCCTATCCTTATATCTGCAAAGAGGTAGCTCATTTTGTTAAGTATGTCGAGAAAGGAAATAGTGGATGACGCTAAAAAAAGTAATGAATGCAAGAAATGAAATAAAATGAAATGAAAAGTCTATTATTCAGTCTAGGCTGTTACAAGCACTTATGAAAGACAAGAAGCCACGCCATCGGTTCGCAAAACTACGACGGGAGACCTTGTACTGAGAAGAACCGGCAAGAAATTCAGCAAGGGCTTGTTTTTTTCTCTCTGTGTTCATATATACAGAGTCGTCAAGTTGAAAAATGACTTCAGAGATACTTCTGAAGTCACCTTCCATGCTGTATCGTTTGTAACACACAGTAAAATCCTTTATAATCATCAGCCTATTAATGTCCCCACTGCTGGGACACAGGCCTTTCTTATGGATGAAATAAGAGAGACTGGGCCATGACCCACCACGCGGGCCCAGTGCGGATTGGAGGATTCTAACGTAGTCCTCGAAACGGTTCTCGTTCGCAACTGGTTTTGGTTGCTGCTGGGTGACGCAACGAAATGACACGCGACGCGACGGTCGAATGAATGTAACGTAACGAAACTAAACTAAACAAAATCTCAAAAGGCCTTCCCTATGGATGGAATAGGGAGACAGGGCTATGACTCACGACGCGGGCCAAGTGCGGATTGGCGGGTGCTAATGACTGCAGATGCAGCCGGGACCAACGGCTTAACGTGCCCTCTGAAGCATGGAGGAACTCGAGACAGAAGATTTTTGGTCACCCATCCAATGTCCGAGCATTGCGAAAGTTGTTTAACTTCAATCGTAGCTGAACGCGCTAGCCCCCTACATCTTTCGTTAGCAACCACCAATCTGCACTTGGCCCTCATGGCGGGTCATGGTGCAATCTCCCTATTACATCCATATAGAAGGCCTGTGCCCCAGCAGTGTGGACATTAAAAGGCTGATGATGATAATGATAATTATTATAAAACATAATTGATGAGGAGCTCGATGGCGCAAGTGGTTAGCGCGTTCGGCTGCGATCGTTGAAGTTAAGCATTTTTCGCAGTGGTCGGTCATTTGATGGGTGACCAAAAATTTACTATCTTGAGTTCCTTCGTGCTCCGTAAGGCACGTTAAGCCGTTGGTCTTGGCTGCATCTGCAGTCGTTAGCACCCGTCAATCCGCACTGGGCCAGCGTGGTGCGTCATGGCACAATCTCCCTATTCCATCCATAGGAAAGGCCTGTGCCCCCGAAGTAAGGACATTAATAGTCTGTGATGATGATGATCCAGTATCAACAGCTATTAAGCAAGGTTAAAAAGTGATTTAAATTTCATCAGTAGTACAAGAATACGGAAGCGTCCTCCGTCAATGGTTATTTGAGGATTCAAATGGTTATTTGAATCCTTAAATAACCATTGAATTATGGAGTGTGATAAATAACACATGATTGAATGATTACTTGTTGCGGTGAACAGAGGGACAACGATGAATGTTTAATGATAACGACATTACTGTGCACCGTTAATAAACCTTTGTACTATAAAGGTGATTTTATTTTTACTGACACAAAATAATCGTAATCCTAATTGAGGATATAATGTTAGACATTTGCATGTGCTTTCGTTTATTTGATCGAATCAACCTTAGAAATTAAAACATACGTAATTTATGATACACTAGCGGCCCGCCCTCGCTTCGCTTCGGTGTAGAGCTGAAGTGTAGACTGCAGTTTTTGTTCTCAGGCTTGTATTATACACAATGACATTCAACTATGATTCTTCTTATACCTGCATGCAAAGTCTCAGCCCAGGTTTAAAACTGACAAAGTTTTATACAAACTTTCATTCCCTATTTTATTCTAGAATTGATCAAAATCCTTTCTTAGCGGATGCCTACGCCATAACATCTACCTGCATGCCAAATTTCAGCCCGATCCGTCCAGTGGTTTGGGCTGTGCGTTGATAGATCACTATGTCAGTCAGTCACATTTGAGTTTTATATATATATATGGATGATATCCTATTATACATACCATATAGTGAAAATAAGCTATCTCCAAGCAAGAAAACAAGTTCCAACTTGCGTCGTTGCTGTAAGTCTCAAGACCCACACACAGTACTTAGAAAAATTCAAAGAGCCATTTTATTCAGTATCGCAATTTTAAGTATCTTTCAAAAAACAAACAAAAGGCTACCGGCGTTCGTTTCGGATCGTCATTATATACAGATTTAAAGGTGAAACTCTTCAAGGAAAATCCGCAGGCTAGTAACAATGCGGGGAATCCAAAAATCGAGTGAAGACTCCACGCTTCCGAATACGAAATCAGGCGCGCACCGAACGAAACAAATGCTTTCTTCAAAATCGGCTTGCTAGAATCGAATGCAGAGAGCAGGACGCATGTATAAGAAATGGTGGGGTTGGAGAGGGATGGGCACAATGCGGACAGTCCGACGCGGATAGAATTGCAAATACGATGGAAGAACTTTGAGCCCTCTTTTCTCTCGTGTGTTAAGCATTGTGCAAGAAATTTGGCTGCTCGGCAGAATATTGGATGCCACCGAAGTTTGCTACAGAATTAATGAAACGAATCAGTTTCTGTCTAGCACAGGTCCCGATAAAGCTCTATTATAAACGCTTGATCAAACAGAGACGTAATGATTAGAAATATTTATTGAAAAGAAAATTATTCCTGTTCTAGAAAACATCTCGAAGACTAACGATACAAATCATTGAATGTATTACATTCACAAAAACACTCTTAGGATCAAAAAAAAAACTGAATAAATATTGTCCTTACTCATTGTAACAAAAATATACACAATAAGGATTGAGGTCACAGTGATATTAGTTGCCTACTGGGAAATGATACAATAAAATATCGAATATATATTTACTATTTGATTTTATACAATTGCTAAATAAAATAATTGTTATGATTAGAAACACTGATCACCGTGCTTTCTTCAGAGGTTATAAATTTGAGATAAACAAAATTGCAAAGAAAAGGATTTATTTAAAACAAAAGTCAAGTGCCATAGATGGTGTGAACAAACATCCCTAAGAGCTTAGTTATCGATAACTATAGCAGAGACCCTCTGCATAATAAACTACACTAATTGAGTTGCCAAAGTGTCTAACAAACTTTGAGATTCGAACTAGGTAGATAATTTTTACGCTGGGTCTTAATCAAACTAAAGAAATATTTCCGAAGGTGCGGAGCTGGGCTCGCAATCTTATTATTGTTTGTCAACTTAGCTAGGTGCTGCCTCTCAGAGATATTTTTTAATTGTAGTGGCTATTACTGAAACTTTGTGCCGACACTTTCTTTTTATTAGTCACCAGTTCCAAGCTGGCTCTGATTTTATTCGAGAACAGTTTATTTTTTTATAATATTTGCTGAAGTCTTTTGAATAAATACATTCTGGAACTTTATTTGAAATAGGAAACAAACTTTTTTGTGTTAATTTCGTACCTACTTCTGAGCTATCCTTAACCTAATCCTGAGGTATTTTTATTTTAAATTAAAGCGATAAATATTAATGAACTTCTAATTTACTTACTTATATAACTATAACTGCAGTCATCCCGATTCTGTTGCGACTCACCTGTAAATAGAAGAAAAAAACAGATTACCATCGTATAATTTCGACTTGAATGGCTTAATCCTTTTTTGGGATTCTCATTCATTCGAGATACCATCGCAACTCTCTTAACAATGGAATCAGAAACATTCATTCACAAAGTCGTGACATCAGCGCCGTAAGGATAGCCGAAACGGATATCTTTAGACAGCGGTGAAATCATTGCACAGAAACGTAAAACTACAACTTGTGCGACAGTTAATTTCATTTGTCAACAACAACAATGCAGTCTCGATGAAGAAGCTACATCTTTAAGTGTACATCAATAAGGTTGTTACTTCTTTGTTAACAGGGTTTCGTAGTCGAATGCAACTTTAAATTGTCCCATTAGTCTCACGAGTCCACCGTGAGAACACGTGTGTTTGTCTATCGGAGGATTTTAGTTCGTGTTAGTGTGTGGTTAAAGTAAAGATTTGCGTGCAGTGTTATGGTAACGGGCGAATACGTCAGGACTCGTCACGGAGCATCGCGCGCCATCGCCACGCAACGTTTGATTTGAATCTGGTACTCCTTAGAATGGGGTAATTACGTCACCCACGATGTCGCCCATTGTTTACATTATCAAAGGATGTTGTACAATGTGTTCAACATACTCTAGTTTTACTGTAATTTTGCTTGAATCTTTACATAGTTTGAAACAAGTAAAACTCGCTTTTTGTTTAGATCTTTTAAACTTTGCAGCGGACTTTGATGCAATTTTTAACCAAACGGTACAACGATTCAAGAGGAATGTTTATAATTTATAAAACATGAGGACAAAGCGAGGGATGCTAGTTAAAAATATAACATAAGCCGAGATCGTATAATTAAAAAAAATATATTTGGGAATAATGAGTCTATTATAATACCTACTACATATCAACACAAAATTGACTTCAAACATCGAAACCGGATCTCAATTTGATTGATAATAATAATGAAAAAAAAAGATCAGGTGACAAAGCGCTACAAACAAACCACCGCGAAAAGGCGTCGCTCGCTCGAATGCGTTGAAAACGGAAAAATTTCAGGCGCCATTTCTGTATAATGACGTAATTCTATACTTTATGGGCCGCGCGGAATTTAATTTAGGCCCTTTATATTTTTGACCAAGGACACCCTCGGGCCCTGGTCCCCTTTTAGGGGGGGGGGGGTGCTTCTTTAGCATGGACATAGTGGGTGTTAGCACGTACGCATATTAAATGAAAGGTCCGTCTAATATGTCGTAAAGAGGTCACGCGTCGGTGTAGTCTGGTGATACCATTTTGAATTTTTCCGGCGAACCTCACTTTTATCATATTGGTCATCTGGCCCGTTTAGATGTGAGTATATAGGATTGCTTTATTTGACGTCCTTAGTGATATTTTACGTTAGTATATGGGCTTTAGACGTGAGCAGCGTGTTAATAATCATGGAGGTTGTTTTAACAAAGGAATTATGCTTATCTATAATTCTTTATGTTTCCTGGTAATGTTTAATTTAGATGTAATGTTAGAAAGCTGATAGGAAAATACAAAGATGGAGGTGGTTTGACAATTGAAAATTTGTATCCTCGGGTTTTGGTTGAAGGAAATAATTGTGTATGACTGACTGATGCTGACAATATCTATATATATAAAACTCAAAGGTGACTGACTGACATAGTGATCTATCAACGCACAGCCCAAACCACTGGACGGATCGGGCTAAAATTTGGCATGCAGGTAGATGTTATGACGTAGGCATCCGCTAAGAAAGGATTTTGATCAATTCTACCCCCAAGGGGATAAAATAGGGAATGAAAGTTTGTATGAAACTTTGCCAATTTTAAACCGATCGGGCTGAGACTGTGCATGCAGGTATAAGAAGATTCATAGATGAATGTCCTTGTGTATAATACAAGCCTGAGAACAAAAACTGTAGTCTACACTACAGCTCTACACCGAAGCGAAGCGAGGGCGGGCCGCTAGTTATAACATATGAAAAAAGTGGAATTCAATGTAGCAAAGACGACTCAAGGGGAATCATTGGTGAAGAATTATTTAATTAGTACTGAATGGGGATTTTAGTCCATGACCGTGTCTCTTTTATATTTAGATTTGTTTTACTAAAAAACAAAATTTTATCGAATAACTAATCGAGGACAACTAAAATACTATATATAAAGGTACTAACGAATAACATCATATACCCTCTATTGAAGTTGATAGAATAATGCAAATGTGACTCAACGGGAACTTTCAACCCTTCCCGAAATTGCCAAAAAAGAGAACATTGGAACCATTGTTTAGTATGACACAAGGGCCATTAAACAAGGTGAACGGATGCGCCTGAGCAACATGCGGGTACATTGATGTGAAGATAACGTAAAGAATAGGGTGCGAATGCATGATGCTTTCTTAAATAAGTCAACGCACATTATTAATGGGACTATTTTTAGATGACGTCATGGTTTGAGTTCATTTGTTTATTTAAGAGGAGTTCGATGGCGCAAGTGGTTAGCGCGGTCGGGTGCGATCGTTGAAGTTGAGCAACTTTCGCAGTGGTCGGTTATTGGATGGGTGACCAAATATTCACGATCTCGAGCTCCTCCGTGCTTTGGAAGGTACGTTAAGCCTGCATAGTAGTCGTTAGCTCCCACCAATCCGCACTGGGCCCGCGTGGTGGGTCATGGCCCAAACTCCCTATTACATCTATAGGGAAGGCCTGTGCCCCAGCAGTATCTCTTATCTATTAGACAAGTCCGTCTGTCTGTGGCGCTGTTTCAGCGGCCAAACCGTAAGAGATAGATAAAGAGAATATTTAAGTTATAAGTTAAGAATAGTCTGATAAGACTACAAACCGGATTTGAGTAACGTAGCACTTCCGGTTTTTGAGAAATCAGGTTTTGGTGAACATTTGGTTCACTGGTTTGCTAGTCGACATTAATAGGCTGATGATGATTTGATTTATTTAAGGACAGTTTGCAAGACACCCACACTAGAGCATGCTAAAATTCCCATGGTTGTTCAATAAAAATATGTATAGTGCGGCCATAGTTACAAACTGCCACGACAAGCACTAATCCTTTGAAAGCATTTTTATTAATTACTTAGACCGAAATACCTCTTTCTTACTGTGTTAATTTTTTTGAAGTAATACTTCTTTAGGCGCGTTATGAAAAAATGATGAGAGTGAAATTTTTAGATGCGCGCGCATCACTGTAACCCAAAAGTAACAGCATAAAGTTGGCCGCGGGCGCGTTATGAAAAAATCATGTGAGTGAAATTTCGAGATGCGCGCGCATCACTGCAACACAATAGTAACACCATGAAGTTGGCCGCGGGCGCGTTATGAATGTTAGTGTCTAATAATGGTGGATTATTAACCACTTAGTGGTTAATAATCTACCATTATTAGACATCTGTTCGAAAGGTACTTTGAACGATCCACGAAGCTCCATAAGATGATCGCGTTGTCAAAAACAATGTTGGCACGCTCGTCGCCTCTGATCACTGTTTTCATATTTATAATATTTATCCACATGTTTCTAGTTTCTATATAGACACAACGTGTTTTAGTTACTTACAAGTGCTAATTACATATGGACTACTAACTTAAATTCAGTAGTGATTTTAATTGAATATTTTGAATATTTATTTAATTTTTCAAATTAAAACTGAACTTAATTGACTGTGTCAACTATCCTTTTCCAGTCCTTTTATTATTTTATTGTAATTATTAATTATTTGCATGCAATTAAAAAATATTTTTAATGATGCTAAAGAAGTATAACTTCTCACGCGCGTACATAAGTTACACGCATCCATTTTTTTACGTGTGTATGCTGTTGGTCGCAGGTGACCTTCACAGCGTCACCGGGTTTGAGGACGGCAAAATCCTGAGGCGACCTCAAGCCGAGAATTGGCGAGTGCCTCTAGAGGTATTCCAGGCGGATGGCGTCTCCCCACGGGGGGAGTCTCCTCTCCGTGTGGAGCCTCTAGACCACTCGAACCTGAGGGGGTCGGCTCAACTAGAGGGCGTCTCTGAGACTCGGACCTCGGCTCTAGTTAGCCGTTGTCGTGGGGGGCGGGGAAAAACGCCTGGTATAGCGTGTGTAGACCGGGTCTTCGCACTCTTATCCTACGGGTGCAGTGTCTGCCTAATGCTAAGCTAGTTTGCACGTTTGCTAGCTGTGTAGTGTTGGTGTTTGTGGCATTTGTGAGAGGAAACTGACTTGTCAATGCTACATTTTTCAGTATGTTTTTAGCTGTTTGTACTGCTCTTTCAGCAAGTCCATTGCCTTGGTGGTGATGAGAGCTAGACGTGTCATGGTTGAATCTCCATTCTTTTTGAAAGATCTTGAATTCTCTAGACATATATTGTGTTCCATTGTCAGTTTGTAACTCTTCTGGTACACCATGAGTAGAAAACCATCTTTTAAGTTGTTCAATGACTTCATATGATGACTGACCTTTTAGCTGTTGAAAGTCTAAGTATCCAGAGTAGCTGTCGCATATTACAAGGCCTCCGGCGCCTGTGTTAACAGTTGTCAAAGTGAAGTTGAATAGATGTGTGTTTTTCGGACCTTGTCCTAGTCACTACTGCAAACAATCTATATCTGCAACTTAAAGGTCATTTCCTTCTTGAAGGCTATCTTAATACAATATACTAGCAAACCAGTGAACCAAATGTTCACAAAAAAAAAATGTATTTAATTAATTGAGAACTTCGGAGATTTTGTGTGGTTTCGTTTGAAATAGAAATCACGTGATTTCTCGAAAACCGGAAGTGCTACGTTACTCACATCCGGTTTGTAGTCTTATCAGACTATTCTTAACTTATAACTTAAACATTCTCTATATCTATCTCTTACGGTTTGGCCGCTGAAACAGCACCACGGACGGACGGACGGACGGACTTGTCTAATAGATAAGAGATACTTCCATATACACCAATCGGCTCACTAAGGCCGGTTTACAGAATCACAACTAAGTGTTGATCTTTACTTGAGTACAGTTAGAAAG